TTTTTTTTTTTGGAACGTTTTCTTTCTATTTGCGGTGAGAAAATGTCTAAAGGCTTTTTAAAGTTCTGTAAGCTTATATCAAACCTGATTCTTGGTCATATCAAATTGTCTCAAATCTTACAAACGTGCATAAGCTACATAGCCGCATAAACTGCGCTCGACTTCATTAAATTAGATATAAAAAACAAACATCAAACACAATAATTACTGAGGCTTACCATTCGAGATGCAGCTCCTAAAAGGTATCAAGGAAGGCCAGTACAGTATGTTGCCCAGTATCCAGACACTTCAGTTTAAGATTGCGATAACTTTCCTTTGTTAATCGCAAGAGCGTTGAAATTTGGCCCAGAGAAAATCTATTTAGTCCTTAATATGACGAAAGACAGTTTAACTTTTTTGCCTTTGTTTCCATCGCGAAATTAATATTTTTGCGGAGCTCCTATGCTGCCCAGTATCCGGACAGCTGGCCCAGTATCCGGACACAACAATAACAGAGTAATTGTACATAAATTTCGACAGGCAAGCGACTTATAAGCTTCTCTTGCACTTGCAAAGTAGTCTGGCAATCGATTCCAAAAATATAACCTAGCATCGTGAAATAAAACATAACAAATGACTGGAGTATGGTGGGGAACGCGAGTGGCTGTTTTAAAAATGGTATAATTCTCACTTCCTTGTTTAGGAGCTTTTTCACTGGTTTAAGGAAGGCATCCGTGGACATGCCGAAGCCGCAGTTTGTAAGCTCAATTAGCCAATCTGCAAAAGAATTTTTCTCTTCATTTTTTATTTTAAAAAAAGCTTGGGAAAGGGACCTCAATCCGACGGTCAAAGGTCACTATCCTATTTAGTCTGACCTGCAGTGTTGATTTCTTCATGCTCAGTCCCAGCAATAAGCCTTCTTTTCTAGCACTAATTCCTCCTTCTTTCAGATCTCTCAATCCCTTTGTGACATTTTTCAGACCGTTGCAACCCCATTCTAGCAGTCACAGCTGGGGAAAGTATGAGAATTCCAGGTTCAATTCGGACGCTTTCGGTTATATAAAGAAAATGCAGTCACGCGAAAGAAGCCGTGCACACGAAATCAAGTCGCCTCTGAATGAGTGAAGAAAATTTCCATACGGAGTTGAGTACAATTACATTTTACTACTATATCATATATCCTAAGCTTTAATTATAGTTACTGATATGAAATAAATGTTATCAGGATAATGTACACACCTAATTCATCGATTCTGTACAGCAAATGAAAAACTGTCCGGATACTGGGCACCTGACGTCAATACTTAGTGAAAGTTTCTGGCCTCCGTTATTCCAAACAAATCGAATTTCAAGAAGAATTAATAAACTTTCTGAAAACCTGACTTCCTTAAGTATCTTCAATTTAAAAATAAAACATTTTCTTTGAAAAAATCACACACATTACCCTTCCTTTTCTGAGCAGCACTAATTTTACTGCGCAGTAAACAGCGTAAATATTAGCCAAGAAAAGTTTACTCAACTGAACAGAACGGCCTCTCCTGCGACTGTTTTGCAAGCTT